TCCAAATCATTATATTGCAGACAATTATGCATAACAATATGGTAATTAATGTGCTCACCCTTATCTTTTCCGATTGCGTCTCCTTTCGAGTTGGCCTCGGCACCGCCAGCAAAGCGGCGTTTTTCTGTGGAAATATGCAAATATGGTACACAGGGGCCCAGCACAACGAACCTCTCTCTCTCTCTTTTTTCCCTCTCAAGGTCCAAGAGAAATCATAATCTCTACATTAGTACAGGGTTAGATCGAAAAAAAAGGTTGGCAAAGGTTTACTGTGTTGTGCGATCGTGAGACTTAAAACTGTGTGATTAATTATCTCTTTTTAATTTATAAATGCGTGTATGGAGAAAATAATATAGCCGTGTACTTTTTAAGTCATCAAATATTTGGTCAAATATTTGAGGCAGGCAGCCGTTGGTTGTTTTGGTACCCTGACGACTGTTTCATTTATGTTTATGTTATCTGTTTGTTTTGTTTTTTAGTTGGAAGTCAACTTTTTTAAACCTACACTTTTCGTGAAGAACGACTATGCCTGAACGACTTGTTTCTGATACACTGCTCTATCTCCCTGTGTGTCCTTTCATAATATCTTGTTTTTAAAAATTTAATGAAGATAAAAAATAAAAACGAGCCTTAATTTTTTTTTTCAATTGGTTAATGTTTACATACGGGGTGATTAAAAAACGATGGTCACAAAGAGTAAAGCCCCGATTTCATGGAATCGAGCAATTCAAACTGTTAAATGAATATCAAATAAAATTTCGTATTCAAGTTGTCCCTAGAAGCGTCGTTCGAAAGAAATCTAAAATCTAAATAGCCTACCAAGCTTCAGAAATTGTTTATGGAAATTTGGCTCATATAATCCCGGGGTTACATGGTCGACCAACATAGCGCTGTGAATAATTCTTCATCTTGGAGCGTTTAACATCAGTGGACAGGCCTCCTCTGTTGAATGTTTACTTTTTACTCTGTCGATGGCATATAGAAATATTGTAATGGATCGAAATAATGGACTACTGATGCGCCAAAGTGCATTGATGTTTTAAAATAAAACGCTTCCGTATTTCTCAGATTTCTAAAAGTTTCAAGATACCACCTTCTCTCTCCGTCTCTCTCTCTC